TGTTGCTATGGTAACACTGTATTGCTCTGGTCACAGTATGTAACATAATCATAAAAAAAATAAAAAACATAACTGAAAAAAAAGTAAAAAAATGTGAAATTTTTTTTTTAATTTTTTTGCATACTGTCAATAGTCAATGTCCCTGATCAATACCACACTAGTTATATGATAATGTTGTACTGCACTGGTGACAGTATGTAAAATTTTTTTTTAATTTTCCCAAAAAATTATGACGAAAAACTACAACTTCAAAAAGGAGTCATTTGGGGAGTATTTGTACTGTTCTCAGATCCTCAAGAAATGAGGCCGTCAGTACATCAGGATTGATTGATTTTCAGGTATACAGTATATACTATGGTTTGTAGACTCTATAACATTCCTACAGACTAAATTATATACACTGATTTGGATTATTTGTACCAACAAAATGTAACAGAAAACAATTTGGCCTAAATTTACAAAGAAACATTATATATTTGCAAAATTTTATAACGGAAACAAAGAAAAACACAATTTAAAACAAATAAAATGAACTTCTTTTTAATTTCTTTAGCAAAACATGAAAAAAAAACCTAGTGGTGACTAAATATAAACAAAATGAAGCTTTATTTGTGTGAAAACATTTTAAAATTCAATTTGGGTTACATGACCGAGAAATTGTAATTCAAAGTGTGACAGTGCCGAAAGCTGAAAATTGGCTTCGGCAGGAAGGGGGTGAAAATGTCTGGTATTGAAGTGATTAAGAATGAATGGCACCCCCCTTGTTTGCAAAAGAGCAACCCTTTTTGGCTGAAACCACCTGCAACAGTGTAAACCTAGCCTAAAGCTTGACTTGCTGACTGGATAGAAGACAACATAATATTTATATGTAGCACTCTCTAGTGTGCTACTAATGTTAGTGTAGGTACTTTTATTGTGTATGGCTCAAGGTAGCTGTGTGAGTCTGTAATTAGGTTGGATTACTGAAAGTCAGGCTGGATGACTTAGTAGATTGGGATTCTATCGCCTTCACCTGGTTCTGGGAGTCTAACCAATCCCAGGGTGAAAGCCCTGCTAGAGTGGTGAGGCCAACCCATAAATTTGGGAGAGTCAGGTCGTGTTGAAAATGGAGTACTGAGGAGGCTGTCGGTGGCCTAGGAGGGTCCCTTAGGTCTGGGGGGGTGCTGGCCTCCACGCTGGGCTTGGGCTGGCTCAGTAGGATCAAGGCCTGGGAGCAGTGGGAGCAAGGAGGATAAAGTGAGTACCTAAGCACACCCAGGGATTCACAAGTGGAAGGACTGCCATGTGTAGCAAGCTTTCAAATGACAGTTTTGTGGTCAAATCTTTATCCTTGTCCTGGGTGATCTTCAGAGCAGCCAGGAGGGCTGGTAGTGTCTGCAGGCACTAATTTCCCCAATAAAATAACAAAAACCAAGCTCATGGACTGTTCACTAACTGTGGATGTGAGTGTAGATAATACGTGTTGCATGGCTGTACGGAGGATCCAGAAACACAGCGGCCCTCAAGAGGGTAGCACTACACATATGCAATGATTCATATTATCTGTGTTAAAATATGTATTTTTTTAATAATAAGAAAGAAAAGATTTATTCCCTTTGGATAAAATTGGACATGCAGTGGAACTACACTGCATTTGAGCATCACAAAGCAAAAACTCTGTTTAATTAATCTTTAATTTGCAAAGAAAACTCACCCATTCATCCATGAAACCCCCCCCCCCTAGCATTTCTGGCCATGGCCACCTTGAGTAAGGGCAGATGATTCATGTAGCATTGGCTTCCTGAAATCCATCTGCCCTTAGTTCAGGCATACAAGCAGGAGGGTGTGCTTAGCTGAGAAAACTCCTCCTCTCCTCCTGAAGACTCCCGGGACGTATGACATAATTTGCCTAGGCCAAGAAATCAGGAAGTAACTGAAGAAATTAAAAAATAAAAGTTTAAAATAAGTAAATATGATATGTTTTCTTATCTATATACTAATGCTCACAGCATAAGGATTAAAAATAGTCAATGTTGATTGAGAGAGTGACGTTCCGCTTTACGGACAGACTAAGTAAACCATTCTAATGTAAATAACCCTGGAATCCTCATCTTGCAGTTCCTATAAGTGAAATTTTGATAGCAAAAACATTGTTGACTTGGTTTTCATATACTATATTGCCAAACATCTTGGGAAACCTGCCTTTACACGCACATGAACTTTAATGGCATCCCACTCTTAGTCCGTAGGGTTCAATATTGAGTTGGCCCACCCTTTGCAGCTATAACAGCTTCAACTCTTCTGGGAAGGCTGTCCACAAGATTTAGGAGTGTGCCTATGGGAATGTTTGACCATTCTTCCAGAAGTGCATTTGTGAGGTCAGGCACTGATGTCAGACGTGAAGGCCTGGCTTGCAGTCTCCATTCTAATTCATCCCAAAGGTGTTCTATCGGGTTCAGGTCAGGACTGAGTGCAGGCCAGTCAAGTTCCTCCATCCCAAACTTGCTCATCCATGTTTTTATGGACCTTGCTGTGTGCATTGGTGAGCAGTCATGTTGGAACAGGAAGGGGCCATCCCCAAACTGTTCCCACAAAGTTGGGAGCATGAAATTGGCCAAAATATCTTGGTATGCTTAAATTAGTTCCCACGGGAACTAAGGGGCCAAGCCCAACCTCTGAAAAGCAACCCCACACCATAACCCCTCTCCACCAAACTTTACACTTGGCACAATGCAGTCAGACAAGTACCATTCTCCTGGCAACCACCAAACCCAGACACATGCATCGGATGTTTTTTAATACATTCTGAAATCTTTAGGCATTTTTCATGTTAGGCTGATGTAAATGAATGTGGTTAAAATAAATTTAAAGCCAACTTTTTCGGATGGGGAAGGGTTAAAACCCACGCTATGCCCCTATGTGGACATTTTCGTTCACTTCTACAGTAATAAACATCTGACAAAATGTGAGGCAAAATCTCCCCAAAGCAGAGACAATAATCTTTTAGACAACTGTGAGTGGAACAACAGAAAATTCTCCTCTATTGCAGTTCAGGTGATAACTCAAAATTTGTATCTCCCATCATATTATGTCCCATTGACAGAGAGGGTGAATCTTCCAAACAAGAACACAGACATAAATAAAAATCTCAAGGGAATAAATTCAAGAGGCACAGTAACTTTAAAACTTCTGGATACAGGGAAGGATAACAATCACAGCCCTTACTGGCTCTGGTTAGTAGGCTCACATGCAGGTGCCCACTGACCATTTGGAAACTCGGGCACTGCCCGAGGGCCCGGGGTCACTAGAGGGCCCCATGAGATGCCCCTGATACCTTTTTCATAGGTTTTTTTGAGTTTGGGCAAGGACACAGGGGCCCCATGATCCCCTATTGCCCGGGGGCCCCATGAGTTGTCAGTCTGCCCCTGCTCACATGCAATCAATTCTACCCTCCAATTGGCATTTATGAAGGTTACTCAGAACTTAATCCAAAAGAAGGAGCACCAAACCAAATTCATAAGAGAGTCCAAAAAAAGTGCTGTTGAGTCATACAACAGCAAATGCATTTTGGAGGAAAAACTTTCTCCCCTTCATCAGGGCTTAGTAATGTTTGCTAATGTTTGAATGAACTTAGAGAAGCAGATTCCAGAGACATCTTAGGACCGATTCACACCTAAATCACACAGTAACCCAGTCTCATTGAGGTGTGATTTTCAGCGCATTAGTCTGAATGGCCTGAAATCGCACTGTATCGCACACAAAAGAAATTCAATAGCTACTTTTCAAACATGCACTGCCACAAATCACATGGTACTGCAGTACCTTGCTATCTTGTGCAGGCACACACACTAGATTTGCAAACTGCATTTGATTTGTCATTGGGAATATATTGACACCAAGAGCAAATCGCACACCCAGTGCATTTTGACCGTGGTGAGGGAAACGCCATGGAAAGCAGGTTTCCCACACCACGTTCTAGTTTGGCCAAGCCTATAAATGTACTGCTTGCAAAGAAATCAGGTGGGACAAAATTATGCCAGTGAAACAATTACAACAAACCCCATTCACTGGTATATTCTGCCCCATCTGATTCCTATGCAAGCAGTATGTTTTAAAAAAAGTGATGTAAATAGGCTCTTAGATTGTTCAAACTGGAATAAATGCCCAAATCTGAGATTTTTCCTGTCCTTTCTTCTGGTGACAATTTTGAATTTTCCATCACATTAAGCCCAAATGGCAGTGGTCCCAGGGACAAATACAGAGTGTGACAGTAATGGGGCCACAGACAGTAATAAAAACCCGACAGTATTGGACATGGTATTGCACAGAGTGGCACTGAAGATCTTTCTCTTCTCAGTGTGCTACCATAGAAAGCCGTTTGCTATGGGGGTGAACTTCTGGGCTCATTCTCAAACCAGCTGTGTGTGTAATGGCTCACGCTACTCTTGTCCAAGCTTGTGAGAGCAGAGAGAAGGGAGAGAAGAAATGCATCTGAGCACAATGCTAGATCCATACAGCAGTCAGGTAAGCATTTAAGGGGGGAGGGGTACACAGAACGTGGTAGAATGTTTTTTACCTTAATGCAGGAAATTAAGGTAAAAATGATATTACCTTTAGAGCCACTTAAACAAGGGTTCAAAAATGATCAAAAAAGTTAAACATAGAATAAAAGTTTTCACATCTAAAGAGCCTGCAATTGAAAAGTTAAGCCAAACTCAGGCAGAGGTTTGAAAGATCTGGCAAGATCAAATGATGAATAACATATAAAGTTTGGATGAGCATTCTTGTGCAATTTCCTGTCACCCACATTTGTTGCCAACCAGTATTGGTGTCCAATAATAAGCCCGATTACAGCTAGGCCTGGGAGACATGACAGAGCGAGTCCTCATCTTGCATTAATTGTTCGTATTGAAACTATGCCACATCTCTTCAAGCTAGATGTTGCTTAGTATCCCTTTGATATGATAATGACATACTTCTTAGCAGATGAATATGCAAATTAAAGGCAGTAATTTGGTGGCATGCACCTGCTGACACTGTACTAGTATGCTAGTGCGTTGTGCTGAACACTGCAACTGCACAAAAGCATCACAGAGGTAAATGAAATTCTAATGTTGTATACATAGTACAGATGCTTCCACTCTTCTCAAAATTTTGACTTTTAAAGAATCTGCTGCTGGAGTCTCCATTTCACTGCATGTAATTAGCGGACGCTTATGTGTCAGATTTCATTTCTTTCTTTCCTCTCTGGGTGATGTAAATTTTAGCCTTTTAAAGAAAGGCAGATAATTTCACTGCTAATGCAAGGCTATAATTGACAAAAAATGCTCTATGCAGTAAGGAGTTGCCAAGGAAGAAATAAAGAGAAGGTAATGAGAACACCAAAAGGAAGTGTTGTTAATAGTTACAGAAAATGCATAAATGGGCACTTCGTACACAGTAACAATCCATTTTTGGGCACACATTTCCTCCTGCACTTTTTTTCTCTCTTTAGCTGTCACAGTTTTTTAGCCTAATATAGATTAAACCTGTATAACATAATTTATCATCCCCATACTGTCAATATGTCAGTTTAGGCAGATTCCTCAAGGGGTTGCGTGTCTGAAAGGATCTGTGGCGTGGGGTTTGAGGTTCCATTACATGATCAGCCTCGCTTTAATGAATTACCAAAATTCACTAAAGCTTGCACAATCTATGCATATGGCTCAACAGTAGGTGTAAAGACATTTTTGCTTAACTCGGCTTATGTTCACATACAAGCTAGCATGCTTTATATAAAAGGAATTCTTTAAAGCCTTAGTTCAACACTATACAGAAAAGACATGACCTAATTTAGCAAATACCATGTTACATTAAAAATATTAACAATTAATCCACAAGGTCAGTTGCTTTAAATGTCTATCTTACTGCCCTACACAAAAGGTAGGGGTTGATTTTGGAGAATAGCTCTACCACATCTGTATTGTACAGCTTCCATACATAAGGAATACCTCTCAATAACATTTTTTTACCCAGAACACGAGATGTTTATGTAATTTATTGAAAGAAGTATTTTTTTTTTACCAAGAATAATAATAGTTAAAGGTCTAGGTCCAGTGGCTTGGCTGAAAAATCTAATTACACAGATGTGTAAAAGCCTAGAAATTAGCCCAGTCTGGGCGGCAGTGGAGGAACTACCAGGCTCAAAAAGGTAGCACTTGCAACCGAACCCTGGTGTTCCGCCACTGGGGGACTTGCTGCTTGAATGTTCTTCTAGTTATGCAGTGGCGATGATAGGAGAGTTTTACTATCACTGCCATAGTAAGCGCACAGCCTCCAATCACCCAGACTCTCTGCCTATATAGTTCACAGTTGCAGGCAGATGGGGCAAGGCCATCAGGGGGCGGGGAACTGGAAGAGAGTCAGCTGACCCAGTTAAGTAAGGGGGAGGAGCTGGAGGAAGTCTCTACTGTGTGAGGAGATCCCATCTTGGGATAGTCACCTGGAGACATAGAGGGAGCCACAGAGACAGGGGGAGTCGACACTGAAAGCAAGTGAGTGCCACTGTTCCCATTCCCCCATATCAGCACTGCCACTGGACCCAATCCCCTCCACCACCTCTGCCACTGTTCCCATTCCCCCCACCCTCAGCACTGTCACTTATCCCATCAACTCCCCAGCACTGCCACTGATCACCCCCAAAACTGTCACTGAATCCATCCTCCCACCACCGCTGCCACTGATCCCTTCTGTCCATTCATTCTTGCTGCTGAGGCTGCAGGGATTGAGATTGTCGGCTGTATTCAATCTCCTTTCTGTGTCTCAAAGGCAGAGGTGGACTGACAACTCATGGGGCCCCCGGGCAATAGGGGATCATGGGGCCCCTGTGTCCTTGCCCAAACTCAGAAAAGCCTATGAAAAAGGTACCAGGGGCATCTCATGGGGCCCCCTACTGACCCCGGGCCCTCGGGCAGTGCCCGAGTTTCTAAATGGTCAGTCCGCCCCTGCTCAAAGGTGAAACATCAGGGGTCTGTTTAGACCCCTGATATTTCACCAAAGCCCCCAGCAGGGCTGCTAAAAAATATATACAAAATAGTAAAAAATAACATTGTAAAAAAAAAAATAAAATGGTCAAAATAATTAAAAAATAAAATAACAAAAAGAAAAAACTACTGACACTAGTGGCAGAACTACCAGTGTTGCAAAGGTTGCACTTGTGACCGGACCCTGGTATTCCGCCACCTTAGGGGGGGGCAAGACAGCAGGAAGGGGGCCCACTGCAGAACATATGAAAGGTTACTGCTGCGGGACTGTAATATAGGGCCCCATGACAGGAGTAAAGGGCCCCTGAATCAATGGTAAAGACGACCCTTCATGGTTTCTTGCACTGGGGCCCTGAAGATTCTATTTACGCCTCTGCTGGGTGGTATCCTAATCCTCACAGATTGTGCAACATCACTACTAGATATAATGACTGGGCACACTATAAAAGAATGCTCATCTAACACCCACCATTGCTGGATATAGGGGATATAATCTACAGGAAACGTCTCCACGTGTATGTATATTTCCTCCAACAGTGTAAAACCATCCAAACTAATTTAGGCACTATAAAAAATTAAAATGTCAGGTAATTTATAATTGTGCCTTACTGCCATTTAACGTGGGGTTTCATGTTTTTTTTTCTCTGAATAGTAACACAATAAGGCCAAATTAAACTGTAAATGATAGGGCCCTCTGGCAACATATCTCTGTGGTACCTGGCATATTGGGATGGTGTCCCATGGTATATATTGCATACCTATTCTCATCCCTGGAATCTAACATAACAGCTCTCTTCACAATAGTGGGCCAAAATTGTCCTTTTATTACATGATGGTCAGCACAGAAATATCCCTTTTATTGCAGTAGTGGTAATTAAAATGTGGCCCGCTGTTATAACATGATGGGTAGTGTAAAGGTTCCTGTTATTGTTTGGTGGACATTGCAATCACAACCATGGTATACATTAGTAGCTTGTGCAAACACTCAGTTGGCATACACTGGCGGTCAGTACAAATACAGATAAATAATGCCCTGGCCTCAGAGGTCAGTAAAAGAAAAAAAATCCCTGATATCAATAATTAGTAATAACGTCTTCACCATTGGTGGTCAATAATGGGGAAAATGCCCTGGCATTGAAGGTCAGCAGGAGGAAGAAATGCCATGATGTTAGTGGTGAGGGGAAAGAAGAATGCCCCAGTGTTGGTGTTAAGTGGGAGCAAGAAAAACCTAATGTTTGGTGGACAGTAGGAGGAAGAATGCTCTGGCATAAGTGGTCACTAGAAGGTGTTGATGTCAGGGGGAGGAAAAAAAAGGGGCTTTCAAGTATCTATTCTAAGGAGCTCTGGATAGGGCTGGAGGGCTCTGTTGGGGAGGGGGGACAGGGGGGGAAACTTTGGATGGGAATAGGTGTTACTGTGGGATGATGGGGATTTTGGACAGCATTAAAGGACTCTTCAGCAGACTAGTTGGCTCTGTAGGGGATGAGAGTTCCAGAGGGAGCTGGAGAGAAATGTGGGTGATGAGGGCTCTGGAGGGGGCTGGAGGCATTGCAGTGGCACTGTGGGAGACTGGAAAGCACTAGGGAAGGTTGGGGGGCACTTTAAGGCGTTTTTTTTTTTCATGTTGGGGCACTTGGGATCTGCAGCAGGTTGAAGGGCACTGTGGAATGTTGTTGGAGGGGGCTAAATTGAACTTGGGGTTCTCAGGCTCCCTGGAGGGACTATGTGACCTTGGAGGGCACTATGGGGGTCACTGTGGAAGTTAGGAGATCATCATCTGGCTATAGGCTCTCAGGGGGCTAAAAGGGCACCATGGGGCAGCAGATATTCCATCCTCCCTTTTGCAACTTTCTTCAGACTTTCTATCATTATTGGTGTCCACTGGGAAGTGAAACTTCTAACTCCAACCATAAGAAAGATCACATGACCAGGGAGAGGAAGGGTGGGAATTCACCACTCCATAGTGGGCACACATACTGATGGCAGGTATACTGCTGTTCTGCATCGAGGACAGAATTTATCTATAATGCCCACTTGTGAAGACTAATGGAGTCTGGTGCTGGAATGCTCATGGTCTGAAGAGCAGGGGACATTTCAGCTGTCCTATGAAATTCCACTTTCCAATTGGGGCCCCTAACTTAAAAAAAGTTATTATTACCTAAGGAAAAGATTGTGCTGCGCTTTTCAAAATACCCTTCTTTCTTTGAAATACATTGTGCATGGAAAGATAGCAGCGCTGTTTCTAATGTGCCAATTCTGCCTTTTGTTTTAAATAAAAGGCAGTAGTTAAAGGCCCCTTTCCCCCCTTAGAGTACTCCTGTGGTCATATAAGGTGCTCTATATGGTCAATTTGACAGTTGGAAAATAAGAAGTCAACAATAGCTTAAAAAATAATTACATAATAAAAAGAACCAATATGATAATTAGTATGGGTACGATTGGTACTAAAATATCAGCAGTTAACAACCCACTTTTCATTGGGGTGGATTTACTAAAGGCAAATAGACTATGCACTTGGCAAGTGCAGTTGCACTCATTTTCCTTAGTAAATGTAAAAGTGGTAAGCTTCACGCTGTAAAGAATACCTCGCCCCCCAAAAAAAAAAACATTTTTGCTTTCTCATGATTAAATGATGGAAATCAGCAGAACTTTACCACAATTACTAAGCTTGGGGGAAATGAGTGAAACTGCACCTGCAAAGTGCACAGTCTATTTGCCTTTAGCTACATAAAAAGACTGCACCTCTCTTTTGGGGGTTTAGGGAAATGGTCCTCCCCAAACAGGATATTATGTTAAATTGGTAGGTAAATAAGAGAACCAGGGCCTTCGCTAAGTGGAAAAGTGGGTTTAATAATATAGCTGGTAGTGCCTCCACCTAGGACAGGGCCTCTGTGAACAGAGGGGATTTTTTTACTGTGAAATTACCTAGTAATCTAATCAAAGTATTTGGAAGCAGATGAACTACTGAAACCAGCATAGAACATTAACTATACGCATGTAAACGCACAACAGTATAAAAATAATACAAGATTCATATAAGAAGAGATTAATAACAGTACATACTGTACAAACAGGTACTATCAGTAAAGGGCCCGATAGGGGTCCTAGTGAAACTGTGCACATATAACTGGGTATGTATAGTTATTTATAGAGATATCTCCAAATGAATGCTGCAGCAAGGTCCCATTGAAGGGGCTCCTGAGGCTGATGAAGTGTCTGTTTTTGTGTCAGAGACCTGAAGACAAGATCTGCAGTGATGAGGAGACCCTCCAGCTATTACCCAACCAGTTCGGAATGCAGTCCTAGTTATCTGGCAATAATTCACTCTTCTAATCTAGTATTTTTAGCATGGACAGGACATGTGGCTGAGACCAGGAGTCAGGAAGTAACATACATAATTTTACATTACAATGTGATACCAGCAGCTGGCAGTAGAGGACAGTAGATCGCTAAACCACTTTCTCCCCACTAGTATGAAAAGCATTTTTAAGGGGGTGTAAACAGCAATGAGAAGAGGAATAAGACCCTGGGATGTCATGTGTCAAGTCTGAAGAGCACAGTAAAAAAGGGTATGTATAAACAGATGGAGCTCTGCTTTAAGATATATGGCTTTATTTTTTTTAAGTGTACTGGGCATGGTAGGATTTCTTCATAAATGCTAATATTCTTTCAGTTCACAGATGGGGGTATACTATCATATGTAAATAATAAAAATATGCTGATAAGATTTATTTATGTTAGTAAATAAAACTGGTTTGTCAGAGATTAACATGTCAAGATAAGTGAAAAGATTGATGCAGAGTGAATACTAAGCAGAATTAGTTCTACAGAGCACACCCTACTGCAGGAAACAGATGAAAGGAAACATTTCTGTGGACAATATATGTAATCTGCTCCCAACAAGCAAATCCTTACAAGTCTGCCAAAGATTTGGAGTCTGCAGTGCTTAGGCTCACTGAATATTTTCTAAATTGTCTCAGGTATCATGGCATTTTTAAAGCAGAGACTGCAACTATTTGAAGTTCCTGAAATAACTGGATTTTAAAAGAAAAGTGTTTCATTAACATGGAGAAAATGTACAATCTGTAAACAAGCTGACATCATTGTTTTATCTAAAAGGACTTTGGAGGGTGCATGTACTAAATTGAACATGGGAGAAGCTGGACCAGGAAGTGGCTCGTCATGCATCACAAAACTATTGCATTTGACTTTCAACTGCTGCAGTTTGGTGGTAGCAGTTAATAAAAACATACAGATTATCCTAGTTCCAAACCCACCAAAACCTACAGTGGAACCAGGGTAAGTAATATAATCAATAAATATTCTGTAGTATAAAACTCCTTCCATTTTCTCAAAGTCTTAATTTTTATAGATAGAAATCATGTGGATCTGGTAGCATTTTATCTAATCCTGTTACATAATAAACATTATAGTCCGTTTTAAATTGATCTAGGTCACACCCGATTCCAAATCTAGTTTTTGTATTTCTAGCGCTCTTTTTTATTTTCTACATAATCCCATAGTTGAATATAGACTGGTGTCCACCAAACTGAGGTTCTCACAACTCCAAGTATTTTAATGTTAAAAAAGCTTAATTTACCAAACATTTATACTAGCCTTGGATATATTTAAACATTCTTTTTTTGGTGTGGGGGGAGCAAAAATCAATCCTTGTAGTACATCACTGATAATTTTAGTACATTTTGAATATGTTGTGTTTGTTGTCAACTCTGGGTTTGTCTTGGCACACACAGTCTCTCTTTATCCTTGCTTTCTCTACTTCTCTACCAGGATATCATGAGGAACAGCATTTAACACTTTAGCAAAATCCAAATGTATCTATCAACAGCACTATAAGCATTCAAATTTAAACCTAATTTAAAAGCTGTTATAAAGACTTTTTTTTTCTACAATAACAAACATGTTATATTTACCTGTGTGCTCCTCTGCTCTGGTCCCCTGCCAGCTCTCTGTGC